GAATTAAATTTATATGCTAAAATTAGCTAGTAAGCTGCCTGAGGATACTACTTTCTTTCCTATTTTGCTCATTTTAAAGTCTTAAACAGAAAAGCATTAGATCACTGTATTTCTTTATAGATACAATGTATTTATTTCATAAAATATGTATTACTAAACAGTTGTCTCTAGCTATGATATAAGTAGTGATGCAGGAAATAAAATTATGCATGCTTTTTACATGTTTTGTGTAGTTGATAAATATCTTAAAATTTATTTTACTACACAGGGGACTACAGAAGAGGAATAAGGACCTATATAACAGTTACCTTCTTTATCTCATATTTCTTATTCTGATAAAAAGAACATCTCTTTATGAGTTCCTCAGGTTGTAGAGCATACAGGAGACAAAGTTATGAAAACATCTTAGTCATAACCAAACAACTTGAGGGAATGAGTTGCTGGGTATGGAGGCTCAGAACCATAGTTTCAGGGGACACAAAGGTCAATTCACACAGAGACAATATTCTACATCCCACTTTGGTGGGGAGCAACTGGGGTCGTAAAAGCTTGTGAGCAGTCATCTAAGGTGCAGCTATTTTTCTCTTCCAGGCCAGAGCAAAGAAAAGTGAAGAAAATCAAACATTCAGGAAACAATTAATACAAAGGACTAATGGAGCATGTGAACCCCAGCCTCTACAACCCTGAGAAACACTAGATGATTCTCAGCTACCACTGCTGACTTCTCTGAAAAGGATCACAATAAGTGGTCCTGGACAGAGTGGTGGAAAATGTAGAACTAAACTCAGAATCATAAAAAAAAAAAAGACCAGGCTTACTGGTCTGATGAAGACTGGTGGCAAATCCCCAAGACTATGGCCCTTAGACACTCTTGAGGCTAGAAACTGAAGTTAAATCCATGACTCAACTGGCAGCCAAATGACAAACGGGCCTAGGAGTTGAACAGTAATATCAAGAGGGTATGCATTCATCAGAACAATCAAGCACATGAGATCAAGAGAACAGTGTTTGCCCATGGACAGAGCTAGGAAGTCAGGAGGGGATGGGAGGAAAGAAAGAAGCAAAGGGCTGGGTGTAGGGAGGAAGTGGGAAGAATGCTGTTACAGTGTGGGGATTGCAGTAAATGTCACAAAACAGAATGTGTATGGATTGCTGAATGGAAAACCAATTTGCTCTGTAATCTTTCATCCAAATCATAGTAACTAAATAAAATAAAAGTGCATTTTAGGAACACTGGATCTGCAGTTGCCAAAGAAGACTTTGGACTCATACCTCATACCATATTTGAAAATTAACACAAAATGGGTCAAGACCTAAATAAGCCATAAAACTCCTTGAAGAAAACATACGGGTAAAGTTTTAGGATCTATTTTTTGAGAAAGGATTTTTATATATGACATCCAAAGCACAATCATCAAAAGACAAAATAAATAAATTGGATTTCATCAAAATTAAAAACTTTTGTTAATCAAAAGGCTTTATCACGAAAGTGAAGAGACAATCTACAGTATGAGAGAAAATATTTGGAAAACACACACCCAGTAAGTGTTTAACATCCAAAACATATAAAGTACTCCTACAACTCAGCAACAAAAAGACAACTCAATTAAAACACAGCCAAAGGACCTGAATAGACCTTTCTCCGGAAAAGATGTACAAATGTCTAATAAGCACATGAAAAGATGCTGAAAGTCATTAGTCATTAGGGAAATGTACATCAAAACCATAATGAGATACCTCTTCACACTGACTAGGATTGTTGTTATTTGTTGTTAAGTGCCATCGAGTCGTTTCCAACTCATAGCGACCCCATGCACAGCAGAACGAAACACTGCCTGATCCTGCGCCAGCCCCACAATCCCTGCTATACTTGAGCCCATCATCCTGACTAGGACAGCGAAACCTAAACCCAAACCAAAATCAAACCTAAACCCACTGCCATAGAGACAATTCCAACTCATAGTGACCCCACAGGACAAAGCAGAAGTGACCCATAATGTCTCCAAGGCTGTAAATCTTTTCGAAAGCAGACTTCCTCATCTTTCTCCCAGAAAGCAGTTGGTGGGTTTGAACCACCAATCTTTTGGTTAGCCTAACACTTTAATTACTACACCATCAGAGCTCCTTTTAGGATAGCTAGTATCAGAAAAATGAAAAGTAGCAGATGTTGGTGAGATCTGGAGAAACTGGAGTTCTCATTCCTTGCTGGTAGAAATGTAAATGGTATAGACACTATGGAAAAGAGTGTAATGGTTTCTCAGAAAAAATACCAAAAGATCCAGCAATTCCATTCTTAGGTGTATGGCCTAAAGACTTGAAGGCAGAGGTTCAATAAGAGACTTGTACACTAATGCTCACTGCAGCATTATTTACAGTAGGCAAAAGGAGGAAACACTCAAGTGTCCATCAATAGATGAATAGGCGTGTGGTATGGACATACAATGGAATATTATTTAGCCATAAAAAGAAGTTAAGTTCTGATACATGAATGAACCTTGAAAACATTGTACTGTGTGAAATAAGCCAGACACAAAAGGACAAATACTTGTGATCCCAACCATTATCCCACTTACATGAAATATCCAGAAAAGGCAAATACATGGAAATTAAAGTTTCCTAGTGTTACTAGGGGAGCTCTGGTAGCGTAGTGCCTAAAGCACTTGACTGCTAACCAGAAGGCTGGCAGTTCAAACCCGTCAGCCACTCGTCGGAAGGAAGGTTGGGCAATCTACTTCCGTAGTGATACCACCTTGGAAACCCAAGGAGGGGTCGCTATAGGTTGGTCTTACTCCACGGCACCTAACGACAACAGTGTTACTAGGGGCTGGGGGGAAAGGAAAATGGGGAGCTATTGCTTAAGGGGATTGACTTATATCTCCCCAAAATTGCATTGTAAATCCTCACCATTATACCTCTGTACAATTCTTTGTTATGTTAATGAGACATTAATTAGCAAAGTTATGTCTTCAGACAATCACTTTTTGAGAGATAAAAGAACGGATCAGACACAGAGAAAGCAAGCTCAGATGGAGGAAGATCCATACATGAAGATCACCAGGAACCTGAAAAGAGACAAGGACCTTCCCTCAGAGCCCTCAGTGAGAAAAAGTCTTCCCCTAGAGGGAGTGTCCTGAATTCAAGGTCATATCCTGTCACCAAACTTATTCAATCTGCATGCTGAGCAAATAATGAGGAAGACTCATTAACAACCCATGATATGCAGATGACATAACCTTGCTTGGTAGAAGTGAAGATGACTAGAAGCACTTACTGATGAAGATCAAAGACTTCAGTCTTCAGTATAGATTACACTTCAACATAAAGAAAACAAAAATCCTTACAACTGGACCAATAAGCAACATCATAATAAATGGAGAACAAAGTGAAGTGAGGATGGTGAGACTTCTCACATACTTTGGTCACATTATCAAGGACTAGTCACTGGGGAAGGATATCCTGCTTGGGAAAGCAGAGGATCAGCGATAAAGAGGAAGACCCTCAACAGGATGGATTGACACAGTGGCTGTAACAATGAGTTCAAGTATAGCAATGATTGTGAGGTCGGCACTAGGCCGTGCTTCATTCTGTAGTACATAGGGTCACTGTGAGTTGGAACCAGCTCAATAGTACCCAACCACTGCAGCCTCCTAAAATGTGAAAAAATTAATTTCTGTTCATTAATGTCACACACTTGTAGTATTTCTATTACAGCAGCACTAAGAAACTAAGACAGGTACTGAGCTTCGGTTTAGTCTGATGAAAAACATCTGCAAGTGGATAGTGTTGATGCTTGCATGAGATGGTAAATGTAATAATTAATGTCACTGAATTGTACACTTATAATAATTTAAAACAGTGCACTTTAGTATGTCAGAGTTCATTTTAATCAGCTATTGGGAATATCACACTTCTTTCCCTCTACTGTCTACCTGTTTTGAAGGATATGTAACACTATTGCCATGTCAAGGAGCTCTGGTGGTGCAGTGGGTAAGGCATTTGGCTGGTAACCCAGAAGATTGGTGGGGTTCAAGCCCACCAGCTGCTCTGTGGGAGGAAGATGAAGCAATCTGCTTCCAGAAAGATTTACAGCCTTGGAAATCCAATGGGGGTCACTATGAGTTGGAATGGACTTGATGGCAGTAGGTTTGTTTTTTTTTTTAATTGTCATGTCAGTCTTCAATCTCTGCTTCTAAGAGGATATGAATAGCAACTCCTCTACTTCCCCAACACTTGAACTTCAGCTTAAAAGCATGGTTTCTATGCCCCTTATTTTTCCTAAATAATCAACTCTGACTCATCATCAAGCCTTTAACATCCTCAAAGTCCATATTTATATCTGTCAAGTTATCATGTAATGGGAAGAAGATGACAATACTGCATCAGTTCTCTGGACAGGCTAGTAAAGACATTTTTTTAACCACTCAAGGCTAAGTAGATGAAATTCTGCAATAAGCAATAGAATCTGGAAGAGCAGCAAGGCCCCATCACCAGGGCACTTCATGACTCCACACGAAGTGATTTAGAGCCCAGCTGCAAAGTCATTCACATTTGCCAAGAGAGGTTTTGAATACTCTTTGGGACCCACCCTTCCACACAAACAATGATTTAAACAAAATGAAAACAAAACAAAACAGGGTGACTCACTCCAACACTCCTCAATTCTATCCTGTAGGAAGAAGGCTGTGACATGATCTGATAGGATTTCTGTGTTGTTATCATTTTCATAGCCTCTGCATAAGTGTTAAAAGTATCAAACAGGATTTAATTAGATCTGAACACATGAACCTTCTCATACATTTGACAGAAGAACTGATGGCTCTGACTGTACCACATGGAAGAGAGACATATATATTAGCTCTTTGGTTATTTTAAAAACCTCTAAATCAACTCTCAAGAAATCACTAAAGTCAGCTCACCCCATACCCCATACACTACCTCCTACCATTTATATGTATCAGATATTAAAATGATAATCCATTGTCTGTCCAAAGAGCACTTACCTCATTGTCTGACTCCACCAGAACTTGATCATATTCACTAAGTGCTACTAGAAACATGATAGAGGTGACATTTTCAAAGCAGTGTATCCATTTTCTTCTCTCTGACCTTTGGCCCCCTACATCCACCATTCTGCAAGTTTAATAATATTCATATTAATCATATATAAAGAAAAAAATTAAAATTGATATAAATATAGCTTCACTTACACATTTAGGAAAAATATCCTCTTTAAAGACAATGGCATCCAAGTCAATTCAACTTTTATTTACTGAGCATCTACTAATTTTCTGTTATCTAGCAAAGGCAAGACATTCTGGGTAATAAATCATTGTGGTTGTTTGAGATTTACCAGATGTGCATAAAAATTTTTTGTTAACTGTGAAAAATATAGCAATCTGTGCACTAAGCCAAATACTGTGTTTTATTTAATCACAGTAATGAAGAGTCAAAAAGAGTAAGTTTTATTTGTGTTAAGCTCTTAATAACAAATACTAAATTTCAATTTCCTTTCCTAGAAGATTTCTCAATGATGCCTGAAATGACTTCAAACACATTTAAAAGTTGCAAGATATTATGTATTTCAAAATGAATGTAACTGTGTGTGATGCTCCAACTTAAGCATTTTGGTCTGTTTGCCCCAAGTAATGGTAATAATTTTTGGATTGCTCTAACCATGTTGAATAACACAGTGCAATAAGCCTTGTGTACAAATCAATTCACAAACCTGCCAAAAGTGAAGTGCTGTATAAAATGTTAAGATGCTACAAGGTGCCATACAGGGGCCATCATTTGAACTGTTTTAAGGATTTGTTTTTAACACATCAAGTCTGTGCTTGTAACATAGTCTGTGAGTTACTACTCAGGCACCAACACCAGACATGAACTTATTTGAGTGATAACGTGTATACGAAAACATCTAGCACAGTGCTTGACACTGAAGCCACCAGACTTGCTTCAATTTGTTGAATCTATATCTTGACTGAAATGTACACAATGTTTGCAGGATAAAATGCCCTCAGAGAATACGCTGGATTAGGTAGAAGAGTCTGAGATCAGGGCTCTTTCTAAGCATTTCTTAACATTGCAGTTGCTTGTTCCTCGTGTTTTTCTGCCTCAAAGCATTAACCCTACACTGAAACATCAAGGAGATTCTAGTGATTGCTTAATTCTTCTAAACGTTTTCCAAGGTGCAGAATAGATACCTGACAGAGCAATGGATCCAGGGAGACCTATGAATTAAGGACATCAGAACCGGAACTTTCAAGGTTTTTAGCAATATTAAAATACTGCATCCTCTCTAATGCTATTGTGTGAATAACATGCTACTCCTTTACATGAAAGTCTTACTTTTTAAAATCCTGTCTCACTAAACCAAAAAACCAAATTCACTGTCATCTAGTTGATTCAATTCATAGTGACTCCTTGGGTTTCCAAGGTGGTATCTCTTCTACGGAAGTAGATCGTTCAACCTTCCTTCCGAGGAGTGGCTGGTGGGTTTGAACTGCCAGCCTCCTGGATAGCAGTCAAATGCTTTAGGCACTATGCCACCAGAGCTCCTGTCTCACTGGGCCATAGAAAATGCTTTTCATGTTGGGGAAAAATAATTCCTCTGAGTGATTACTCTTATGGTCATGGTTAAAAATGTCCTTCAAAAGCTAACGTAAAAAATATGTAGAAAAATTTAAGATGTAGTTCTAATCTGGCTTCAGAATCCACTAACTGTGATGCAATGAGAAGATAAAAGCCCATGAAATTCTATACGCTTTCTAAAAATACTGTATAATACAATAAAAAGAAGGATATTTGGGTGTCGCAAATGAAAGATCTCTAAATGCTATTAATTCAAAACTTAAGCATTATAGAATGCTAACGGGGCCTTGAGGATCATCTAAACCAGCCATTTTATAGGTGAAAAGATTGAGCTCAGAAATATTTCTAAAATGTCACCAACTTTATAGTTATATCTATTTGAGCAGTGTATGACAGCCAGATGTGACCTCAGGTGCAGAAACTGTTTAATAAAACACACAGTCCCTTGGCAATGAGTGACAGATAACCTCCTAATCCAGATCATGTGGTAGGTTAATTCCTAGTTCATACTTCCATATTCCACTCATTCTTCTTCAATGGGACAGGCTTTCCTAAGGAATTAACTTTCTGCACTCACAGACGTATTCATACTAGTAAATCATTAAAGATAACATGGTTTTATTTCTCAAAGCACCATGTGGTTTGTATTCTAATTAAAAGTAAAACTGAGTGATTGTGTAATTAAAGATTAAATGAAAGTACATCAGTATTGTTTATTTTTTCTACTCTCAAAAAATATATAGAATGCTTCTGCTGAAGTATTACCCAGAAAGAACAGCAGTAGTGATAAAGGAGGTAATACATTTTCATTGTACTTTCAAATATAAATTTAGACTAGGTTAATTAACCTGTTTTCACAACCGTTTGGAAATTTTCAAGAAACTTATTTTATGGATATAAAGTACTGCATTTTTTACTGGTATTGAGAAATTGTGTATTGGTCTCTCTTAAAACAGTTGGAAGAAACATTAACATGGAAGCTTCTGATAACATAATTTCTATTATTGACAGTCTAAGATCATTCATATCTTACATACTTCTAAAAATATATACATTGTGTTCATAGATAAATGATTCAAAAGAATTATAGTTACAACCAATGTTTCAGTAACTGATTTTGTCCAACCACCAACTAACTAAGATTTCATTAATTTCTTGGTGATTTAAACTGAAATCCACATCTGTATCGTTCCTTTCCTACCTTTCAGGAATATTATGTTATAAATTTGTGCGTCTAACACCAAGAGCTGGAATCAGCTTATTGCCAACTAAGAACAACCACCATGGTAATAACGGATACAAAGGCTATATGTTTTTTTAATATTTGACCATATGATTTTAAAATGTACAGAGATCACTAAGTGTATTCAAGGCACAATAGCTAGGAAGTGGGTTTTATGGACTTGGTTACTACCTGAAAATGACACTTTGTAAGTCAAAAGGGTATTCGATGATCCCTGTAGTGGGGACTCGAACTCTAAGCACATCTTGTTGAGTAGGCAGATAGGCAGGGTCAGCTACGCGGTCCAAGTCATTAAGATAGCTGAGGAGGGAAGATACAATGAGAATGTCAGTAATACCATCACACCAAATCTGTCTATACAAAGGGATGGGCAAAAATGTGTCAAAAGAGAGAAATAAAGGAGAAAAAGAAAAATACCATAAGGCAGTAGAAAAGCTTGAGATGTAGATGGATAGAGTCAGTCTTCCATTATTCAGAATACGGTTATACATCTATGGGTTACCTTGTTACCATACTGCTTGGGTTTCTTCTTTTAGTATCATTTAGGACTCATGCAAAAAGTAAAGGATAAAAAAAATGGAAAGGAAATTCAAGTTCATCCTCTACCATTTAGTTGCTTAGCAGGTCTGGTTGGCAAAGCAATAGTGTAGAGCAAATAGGTTTTTAATTATTTATAAAAATCTATTTGTATAAATAGATAGATAACAGAGTTGCACATGAGGTCAAGATTTTTTGCATTTTTGCAGATATAGAAGTTTTTTCCTAATAAATTTTCTTATTATCCATTGACAGGACAACAAGATACCATGCCCTAAATTCTGCTCAAAGCCTAATGCATTCATGATTCATGTGAAGACAGGAGGCTTCTAGTTTACTGCAGTAATAATGTCTAAGGTCAAATATTCCAAATGCTTAGTCACCTTAACTTTTAATTTATCAGGTTCTATGATACTTTTTATTACCTTAAAAATAAAAACTTTTAATTTTGAAATAATTCCAAAAGTAATTGCAAAAAGTAGTTGCAAAAATATTACAGAGAGTTCCCATGTACCCTTCACCCAGCATCCCTTAAAGATAACATCTTACATAACTACATTATCAAAAGCAGGAAACTGACACTGATACAATTCTACTAACTAAACTACATACCTTATTTGGACTTCAAAAGTTTTCATGTGCAGCCATGTTTTTTGGTGTGTGTATGTGTGTATGTAGTTCTAGAGAGCCTGGTGGCACAGTGGTTAAAGTAGTGCTTGGCTGCTAACTGAAAGGTTGGCAGTTTGAACCCACCAGCCACTCCACAGGAGAAAGAAGTGGCAATCTGCTTCCATAAAGATGATAGCCTTGGAAACCCAACGGGGCAATTCCGCTCTATCCTATAGGGTCATTATGACTTGAAATTGACTCAGTGGGACACAAAAACAACAACATATAGTTCTAGGAAATTATATCACATCATGGACTCACTGCTACAATCAAGACACAAAACTGCTTTATCACCAAAAAGAAATTCCTATGTCACCCCTCCCAACTCTAATCCCTGGCAACCACAAATCTGTTCTCCATCAGTATTTTATCATTTCAAAAATGTTATGTCCCATTACCTTTTTATTTTCCCAAAGTACAAAAATTAATTTATGACTTTGAGAATGATATAACTTGATAATTTTTTTCTGAGAGGTATCTTCATGATTTTAACAAGTGACTATGCTACTGTTGAGGATGAAACATCAGATTTGGTTTCAAAACACACAAAGTGATTATGCAAAGTAACTAGCTTGTGAATAAAGTCTAAAGTAGGAGAGGGAGCATTAATAGAATCATGAAGAAGTAGATATTCAAAACTTTTATTTGTGCCCGAATATAAGACACAGGGAGTTCTGATCTAACTGATAGGGACAGTCTGGTGCAGAGCCTGTTATAATATGACCTACTTCAGGGAAGAACTATGTCTTAGTCATCTTAATTTCTGCCACTGTATCTAAAATAGTGTCTGGCAAATAGCCCCAAAAACAAAACAAAAATTCACCATCATCGAGTGATGGAGCAGCTGGTGGATTTGAACTGCAGAACTTTCAGTTAGCAGCTGAATATTGTAACCACTGTGCCACCAGGGATCCTTTACTAAGTATGTATTCGTTTCATATATGGATTTTCTATACTGAGATTTAGTTTTAGCACTATTTAAACATCATTCTTTCTAGTCTACCACTCATCTATCAGTTTGTCATGCTGTGGTGACTTGTGTGTTGCTATTAAGCTAGAAGCTATGCACCAGTATTGCAAATACCAGCAGGGTTACCGTGCCCATTGTGGACAGGTTTCCATGGAGCTTCCACACTAAGACAGCTGAGGAAGAAAGACTTGGAGATCTACTTCTAATACTTATTGTTGTTTGTTGTTGTTTACTGTAGAGTCAGGCCCGACTCACAGCGACCCCTCCTTGGGTTTCCGAGGTGGTATCACTACAGAAGTAGGTTGCCCAACCTTCCTTCCGAGGAGTGGCTGGTGGTCTAATAGCCAAAGAAAACTCTATGACTTACAATAGAACACTGTCCAATACAGTGCTGGAAGATGAGCCCCCTAGGGGGAGAGACACTCAAAACACACAATGGCCACAACAATGGAACAAATCAGCAGACATTAGTAACAGAGCCACCATCTGTCTGTCAGTCTGTCACACTGTGGTGGCTTGCACGTTGCAGCGATGCTGGAAGCTGTGCCACCAGTGCTTCACATACCAGCAGGGTCACCCATCATGGGCAGGCGTCAGCAGAGCATCCAGACTAACACCGACTAGGAAGAAGGACCTGGTGACCTGCTTCTGAAAATTGGCCAGTGAAAGCCTTATGGATCACAATTAGGACACTGTCTGATTCATCTGCTTTGGATGAATTGCTAGAGGAAGACATCATGCTTGGTGAAAAAGAGGGTCAAAGACAGTGAGGGAGACCCTCGTGAGATAGATTGGCATAATAGCTACAATGATGGATTTGCACAGGAGGATCACAGGAGCAGGCAATGTTTTCTTCTGTTGCATATTTTGTTCTATTGCACATAAGGTCATCCACCATGAGTTAGTGTCAACAGCAGATATCTTATCTATTCTTATTAATGTTGTTTCCATATGAATGATACCCTTAAATTTGAAACCAAATGTTAAAAATAAATATTAATTTAAGTCTATATGATTCATGAACTCACAGAACAATAGAACTAACTCTGATTTTAACTAAGAAGAAAAATTACTGCCCTTTTGGAGGTATATCAATTCTTTAAGATGAAAAAAAAAAAAAAGTCAGCCTGGAAATTCCTACTGCAAAGCATCTAATTAGTATTCTACTGGTCTTATCCCAAACACATCAATGACTCTCTAGCTGGCAATTAGCTCTCTACTGACGGATGGGAACTTGCCTGATATCTTTAATTGTTATAAAACTGGCTGGAGGAGGAAGAAGGGAAGGCTTGGAGAACATGGGCATGAGATGCATGAAGGAGATATTAAAAAAAAATGGATGGGACCTGAAATTTTAGGAAGTATCTTCGAATGGTTTTACAGTGGTCTCAATTTTCTGATGGTATTTAACAAGCCTATTTTCCAAGAGTTGGTCTGTATCTCATTTTATAGACAAAGCAGCTGATGACAACATAAATGCAAAAATCAACTGGCTACTCCACAGAGACAGATTTTCTAATTTATCAGCTCCTTGGATTGAATATCTTGAAATGAACATATATCTTGAAAGACAAAAGATCACCACTTATTGAACTACTGTATATATTCCAGAGGAATCTAAGATTTTAAATAAGCATTGGCAAGTTTGTTCAGGAATATGTTACCCAAAAACCATGTCCCCTCACTTAATGCCATACACAGAGGTCAGAACAGAAGGTGCTAATTTTTTGTACAAAGTACTATGGTGTTCCTGTGGTAGCGAAATTGTGGCTTTCTGTTTCCTGAAGATGAACCAAACAGAATACTTGCTGCTGCTCCAATTTTAAACACGGATGTGTATTTTGCACAGGAGGATTAAAAGAACTAGCACATGAAGAGGGAAAGTTAGCTGTCACACTGCACTACAGGAACCTTGAAGAGTCTCTCCCCAATTCAGAAGGAGGCACCAAGCTCCCTGAGGAAACAGTCTCTGGTGAGATGGAATTAGAGAACATACCTACAACTGACAACCACCGGTGGGGCTTAGAGCCTGTCCTAAAAAAAATCAGTGGTATGAATCCAGGGCACTACCAAGATACTAGCTGAATACCTAAAACACTCATACTGCAAGGACAAATGTGCAGGAATGGTATTTTCCCCTCTTCATCGCTCCTTTTCAAAGTGAGTAGAGTTCACAGAAAATACAAAGTGAGTAGAGTTCACAGAAAATAAGTGACTTATGCTGAGCACGTAGTGCTGGCCAAGTTCTCTTCTATCTTTCCACAGCGCAGGCATCATCACAGTTCAAGGCAAGGAAATGGCCATTGAAGATGTGCCACACAGGCCTGATTAACAAGACAGTAAGTTCAAAGTTCTTCCCGGACATTCCTGTTGCCTTTCCTCACTGGGAAAGCCTACTTGGAGTAAAAATGCTAAATTTATCAAGTTTAACAAAACAAAAGGGCTGAAAGGGATTTTATGGGTGCTGCTAGTTGCAGCGCACATCATCTAGAACTAAAAGCAAACCACAACAAGGCAAAAGAATAGCAAAACAGTAACAAACCTGCAAACAAACAAACAACACACAAACTACATTCTCCTAAAGGAAGGTCTAGGCGGTGCAGAGGCTACCCTAAGACTGAAGATATATTACAATATGTGAAGCACGTAAAACCTGCAGACAACCAAAACTTCCTTTTTAAAAGGTGCACGCCTGCCAAGGAAAGGCCTGTGGGAGGAGCCTCTACCTACAGAAGCCCAAACTCCATGCTCTGCCCTCATTCTGGGCTTACAGAAGTGGAGGCACCTACAGCAATGTCTGCATTTCACATTTGCTTGGGACAAAAACTACTCTATTCCCCTAGAAATGAAGTTCCATCATGATAGGACTGGTATACCCCCAAGTGTTAGGTCTTGTCACATTTTGAGAAAAGATGCAGGGATAATCTCTTGACTGAATTGTAACTTCCCACGTAAGCAACTCTTGTAGAGGAAAAGCTTTGGTGGAATATGGAGGTTGGGTTCATGTTGGATTATTCCATTCATTTAACCTTTTAAAAAGAAACACCGAGGTCTGAACAAATTTATATGGCTAAGTAAATTCAGAAAGTTAATTATAGCTATAATTTGTTTTGTAGAAATGATT